CCCTCCCCCTGTTGCCCCCCCCCCAAACACCAAGAATACAGAGCATCACTCGCCCCAGACTGAGAGTTCCTATCTGTACCTTGTGGCTAATAACCACCGATGGACCTCTGCTTCATATGTTTATCTAATTCCCTCTTGAAGATGTCCATGGTTGTAGCCGCCGCCACCTCCTGTGGCCGTGAATTCCATGCGTTAATCACTCTTTCGGTGAAGAAATACTTCCTTTTATCTGTTCTAACCTGTTCGGCAATTTCATGGAGTGCCCACGAGTTCTTGTATTGTGAGAAAGGGAGAAAAGTACTTCTTTCTCTACCTGCTCTGTCCCATGCATCATCTTGTAAACCTCGATCATGTCACCCCTCAGCTATCGTTTCTCCAAGCTAAAGAGCCCCGAGCATTTTAACCTTTCTTCATGGTGTTCCAATAAAGTCCTCGTATCCACTCAGGTCCTAATGACAGGCGTGCTCAGTGAATTCTGTGCTCGGAACTTAATTCCCTAGCAAGCGGAAGCCCCATTTGGGCTGCAAATCAAGTTCTGAGCAAAGAACTCCCACTACGCATCTATTGATGGGGGCCCAAGGGATACGGGGATGTCGTAATGCACAGATCAGTCCTAGAGGACTCTCCCCCTGCATCTTCTTTCAAAAAGTGATTTTAGTCAAACACCGGTTCACACAGTTTATGTGATGAATTCATTGACTGACTAATTAACCTTGAGACTGATTGATCGGAACTCGATCGCTCATCCATTTTTGCTGGCAATTGCATCTTAGGAAGCTTTGGCTGACTTAAATATCCAGCTGCATTTAATGGGGAAGGAGAAGCAAGGCCTGGAGCTCCGGACATACACCCTGAAGGCCCAAGAGGCCGCTTGCTTGTTGATCATCCGGATCCTGCAAGAGGACTGCGAGAAGAGCCGGGGACAACAGTCTGGATCTTCCGATAGCAGCAGCAGCAGCAGCAGTGATGAAGACAGCGACCTCAGGGTAAGGATCCGGGAAGTGTCCGTTCCTTTCAGGGACACGAGAAAGGGACCAGCTCTATGAGGCGAATGAAATTTAATGTTTGCATTCCCAAAATATTCACTGTTTCTCAAGGGAGGTCCTCCGTTTTCCTCTAGATTATTTTATAGTAGGTGGGAACGGGTAGCAGTCCTGATAGCCCAGACCGGTCCCCTCTCATCACAGCTTGGAAGCTAAGCAGGGTTGATACCAGGGAAGGCAATAGCAAACCAACTCTGCTCATTAGGGATGGGCAGGGGTCCTTTCGTAGAAAAAGAGGTGCAGGAGCTCATTAGTCCAACTCATTAGCATAACTTATTTGCATGTGCCACACCCCCTGACATCACCGGAAGGGTGTCAGAAGGCAACACCCACCGCTCAGGCTCCACTGGACTGTTTTGGATTGCTAGCTATGGGGGGGACACGCAGATCTGCCCTCACAGAGGAGGGAGAGCTTTTACCTGAATAAACCTTGGCCTTAAAGGTGCCACTGGACTGTTTTGGATTGCTATCGGGGGGGGAGGGGCTCTGCAACTTACCTGGCTGCTTCTTGCTCCTCGTGGCCCGGGGCTGATGGGAGCAGGGGGTGGGGCTTGTTGCATGTGCCCGCCCCCTGGGCTCTTTACTGTCGGAGCTCCGCTCCTGTGCGCTCCTCCAGGAAATGACCCCTGATCATGATGATGAATACTGAAAGCCATACAAAAGCTCTTCTAAGCACAGTTCTACAAACTGAAAACATTTGACATGCTCATACACTCTTAGAGAAGGTTTATCTATATTAATATACACAGCAAGAAATACTATTGCCTTAGCCTGGAAATCTTCACAACCACCTACAATCTGTTGGATCCCCAAGCATTGAGAATAAATCCACGTTTTCAAGAAAAGCAAAATTTATTTCAAAGCGTTGGAAAGACACTCAAACACGTTCTTTGTTAGAACTGGGGATACACAGGTAGGGCAAGCATAATAAAGGAAATTCAAACAGACACAGATCCAATGAATAACATTCCCGCTGGCGGGCTAAAGAAACGGTTGCGCGCCCAGTCCATGAGAACCAGGCAGAACATCAGACAAAACACAGGTGCAGTTCCCAAGCGATAATCAGTGGCAAGCATTACAGCATCCTCTCCTCCACAGCTTCGATGGGAAGGTAACAGCGTTCCGTGCGCCTTGGTGTTTAGTCATGCTGGCCACATGACCACAGAAACGTCTTCGGACAGCGCTGGCTCTTCGGCTTTGGAAACGGAGATGAGCACCACAACCCTAGAATCGGATTTGACTCGCTTTCGAGCAAGGGAACCTTTACCTTTACCTATGGGATTACACAGATATAACTCAATATAGGTCAGATAGTCTGAGTACCGTTTACCTACCCAGTGATCTAGTACGTTGTAATGGGTTTTGTTTTATATGACGAATTGTAAGTATACTAATCTATTCAAACACAATGTATGTATGTTGCTTGTTTGTTGATGCTTAATAAAATGTTAATTGAGAAAGAACTGGTGCTGGTGGAAGCGGCTGTCAAGTCACCCCCGACTTATGGCGACCCCGGAGGGTTTTCAAGGCGAGAGACGTCCAGAGATAGTTTGCCATTGCCTGCTTCGGCATCACAACCCTGGTATTCCTTGGAGGTCTTCCATCCAAATTCTAGCCAGAGTCAACCCTGCTTAGCTTCTGAGAACTGATGAGATCGGGCTAGTCTGGGCTATCTGGGTCAGGGCCCCAAAGGATTGGAGCCACCACTAAAAGAGCCTTGGAAATCGGCTATCACCGTCCTAACCTCTCTGTGGCCTGGGACAGAAAGGCGGGACTGACCTCATGCAAAGGGGGGTGGTCCTTTTAATTCCTTTGCCTCCTTCCCCCCCATCTGTATTCTCCATGCACATTAAGAAAAACGTTACAGCAAAGCACACTCAATGCTATCATACTTATGACTGCATTTGTTTTGTGCAGTGTTTTAACGGATGGGTTACATACTATATAGGGGCTGCGGTGGCTCAGTGCTTAAGACGCTTAACTGCAGACTGGAAGGTCGGTAGTTCAGCAGTTCGAGACCCGAGTGTGCTGCATGACGGAGTGAGCTCCCGTCTCTAGTTCCAGCTCCTGCCAACCTAGCAGTTTGAAAGAAAGAAATTGCAAGTAGATAAATAGGTACTGCTTTGGTGGGAAGGTAACAGCGTTCCGTGCGCCTTGGTGTCCAGTCATGCCGGCCACATGACCACGGAAACGTCTTCGGACAGCGCTGGCTCTTCAGCTTGGAAACAGAGATGAGCACCGCACCCTAGAGTCAGATTCGACTGGCTTTCGAGCAAGAGAAACCTTTACCTTTACCTTTAAACACTACACCCAAAGAATCTGTATGGTAGTTACTGCTTTACCCAGCTTTCTTCCTTGTAATGTTTTATCAATGTATACATGCATGCCGCTTGCTAAAGTCAGGAGCAGATGAGGTGCAAACAAACAGGAGAAATGGAAAGCTGTGGTTTACGTAACCTGGAAATCAGAGCATCAAACCAAACAGAGGATTCCTAAGGCCTCCATGACAAAGAAGTCTCGTATTTGCCACAATCCAGAGAACTCAAGCTTCCAACAGATGGCTCCTTGCCATTTCAAACATTTGTTGTTGTTCAGTCGCACAGTCGAGTCCGACTCTTTGCGACCCCATGGACAAGATCTCGCCAGGCCCTCCTGTTTTCCGCAGTCCTCTGAAGTTTGCTCAATTTCATCTTCCTTGCATCGATGACACTGTCTAACAATCTCATCCTTTGCCGTCCCCGTCTTCTTTGACCTTCAGTCTTTCCCAGCATCAGGGTCTTCTCCAGTGAGGGCTCCCTTCTCATTGGGCGGCCAAAGTATTTGAGCTTCAGTTTCATCATCTGGCCTTCCAGGGAACAGTCAGGGTTGATTTCTTTTAGGATTGACTGATTTGATCTTCTTGCAGTCCAAGGGACTCTCAAGAGTCTTCTCCAGCACCATAGTTCAAAAGAATCTATTCTTCGGTGCTCGAAACATAGCTGTTAAAAAACTAAGCAGAGCCCTGCTGGATCAGGCCGCATGTCATCTAGCCCCAGATTCTGTTGCTACTGATGCCCAGGAGTGAATTAATTGTTGCCATTTCTTAGCTAGTGAGCATCTGTTTTGCATTTTCCCCCTCTACCACAATGCTTAGGGCTACATTCCCGTGTGTACCTCCAAAGGAACCCATTTCCGTCTAGCTCAGGATGCTGGTGGGAAGCAGCCAGCTACAGACCGCGAGGCACAGATGACGGAACTTCGTGAGACTTTGGCTCGGTAAGTGCAATCCCTTCCCTGACCTGAAGCGGGCGCTGTGCCCCTCTCCGATTGCCTTTGCCAGCGCCCCACCCTTGTTCATCCGCCCACTTCCAGACTGGATCAGATCACATCTTTGTTCCTTTTAAAGCATGTATCCTAACCAGCCAGGAAGAAGAAGGGCTTTGGTGGGAGCTGTTACTCAGTGGGCAGAGTACCCGCTTGGCACCCTGAAGGTCCCATGTTCAGTCCCTAGTATTTCCATACTAATGCAGCAAAAATCCACAGCAACACTGTTCTATGTTCAACAGTGATTTGGATGCAAAAGGTCCTGTGCCCAATCCCTACCCATCTCCAGCTCAAGGACTTTAGGTAGCAGGATTCAGGAAAGACCTCTCTCTGCCTGAGACCCTGGAGACCCACTGCTGCCCAGAGGAGACAGTATTCCTGGGGTCTGACTCAGCTAGGGGTGCCGGGACTTATCTGTGTCCCTGGGCCGTCACAGGGCCGCCCGTGTGAATCGGTGGTGACCAAACTGACAGGGAGTCTTGTGGTACCCTAAAGCCTAACAGATTTACCGCAGCGTGATGCAAGCGAGGGAGATATCTGTGTTCCGTCTGACAAAGTGTGCGTGCACATGGAAAGCTCACGCCTTGGGGAAAAACTTTGTTGGTCTTAAAGGTGCCATTGGATTCTGTGTTTCCCAGAGACACTTGGTTGTTTTCACTGGAGAGAGAGAGAGAGAGAGAGAGAGAGAGAGAGAGAGAGA